TCGCCAAAAAAGTTCAATAAAAATCGTCTTAAATGTTCAATAAAAATCGGCTTAATTTTTTTTTCAACAGTTAATTACAAGAAAACGGTTCGGTATATTTTCACCTAAAACTAATCAGTATCATTCGCAACTAATATCTTTCGAGCAGTTTTTGATTTTTTTAAATTGATTCGGTAATATGTGTTTAAATGTGGACGAAAAGTTTAACACTTTTTTTTTACATTACAAAGAAGCGGCTGGGCAGATCATTGCACAAAACTGACAAACGATAATCCTCATTGAGATACATCAAATAGATTTTAAATTTCTGAAATCGGTTCAGGCGTTTTTGAGCAAACGGCGATAAAAGGTCTAATTTTTATAAATGCCAAAGAAACGATACTAATTTTTGCAAACTTTGACGATTTTTTTTAAATTAAACGACTTGTCGTGGGGCCGTAATATTTCAGTATGATCTTTACGATATAGTATCTCCCGTCAAAAAAAATTAATAAAAACTAGTTGGTTTGATATTTAGCCTTGAGGCAAGTTACATGAACTTCCCGAAATGTGTAAATAATCGACTTAATCAAAAAAAAGTGTAAATAATCCTACTTTAAAAAAAAACGATAATAATTTTAGCAAACTTTGACGAATTTTTAAAATTAAACTACTTGTCGTTAGGCCGTAATATTACAGTAAGTTCTATAAGACCATGATGTATATCGCCAAAAACATTTCCATGAAAATCGGCTTAAATTTTTTTTTCAACAGTTAATTATAAGAAAACGGCTCGGTAGATTTTCACCTAAAATTAATCAGTACCATTCCCAACTAATATCTTTCGAACAGTTTTTGATATTTTAAAATCGGTTCGGTAGGATGAGCTTAAATGTCGACGAAAATTTAACACTTTTTTTCAACAGTTAATTACAAGAAAACGGCTCGGTAGATTTTCACCTAAAATTAATCAGTATCATTCCCAACTAATATCTTTCGAACAGTTTTCGATATTTTAAAATCGGTTCGGTAGGATGAGCTTAAATGTCGACGAAAATTTAACACTTTTTTTCAACAGTTAATTACAAGAAAACGGCTCGGTAGATTTTCACCTAAAATTAATCAGTATCATTCCCAACTAATATCTTTCGAACAGTTTTCGATATTTTAAAATCGGTTCGGTAGGATGAGCTTAAATGTCGACGAAAATTTAACACTTTTTTTCAACAGTTAATTACAAGAAAACGGCTCGGTAGATTTTCACCTAAAATTAATCAGTATCATTCCCAACTAATATCTTTCGAACAGTTTTCGATATTTTAAAATCGGTTCGGTAGGATGAGCTTAAATGTCGACGAAAATTTAACACTTTTTTTCAACAGTTAATTACAAGAAAACGGCTCGGTAGATTTTCACCTAAAATTAATCAGTATCATTCCCAACTAATATCTTTCGAACAGTTTTCGATATTTTAAAATGGGTTCGGTAGGATGAGCTTAAATGTCGACGAAAATTTAACACTTTTTTTCAACAGTTAATTACAAGAAAACGGCTAGGTAGATTTTCACCTAAAATTAATCAGTATCATTCCCAACTAATATCTTTCGAACAGTTTTCGATATTTTAAAATCGGTTCAGTAGGATGAGCTTAAATGTCGACGAAAATTTAACACTTTTTTTCAACAGTTAATTACAAGAAAACGGCTCGGTAGATTTTCACCTAAAATTAATCAGTATCATTCCCAACTAATATCTTTCGAACAGTTTTCGATATTTTAAAATCGGTTCGGTAGGATGAGCTTAAATGTCGACGAAAATTTAACACTTTTTTTCAACAGTTAATTACAAGAAAACGGCTCGGTAGATTTTCACCTAAAATTAATCAGTATCATTCCCAACTAATATCTTTCGAACAGTTTTTGATTTTTTAAAATCGTTCGGTAGGATGAGCTTAAATGTGGACGAAAAGTTTTTTTCAAATTACAAAGAAACGGCTTGGCAGATCGTTGCACAAAACTGACAAACGATAGTCCTCACCGAAGTACATCAAATGGCTTTTAAATTTCTAAAATCGGTTCAGGCGTTTTTGAGAAAACGTCGATCAAAAGTCTAATTTTGACAAATGCCAAAAAGACCATACTGATTTTTGCAAACTTTGACGAATTTTTAAAGCTGAACCAGTTGTCGTAGGGCCGTAATATTTTAGTATGATCTTCTAGAAGACTATGGTATCTATCGTCAAAAAAATAATCATAAAAATCGTCGAAATTTTTTTTTAAAAAACTTTATTACAAGAAAACGGCCCGGCCGATCTCTACCAAAAACTAATCAGCACGATTCCCAACCAATATCTTTCGAACGGTTTTTGAATTTTCAAAATCGATTCAGAATTGCGGGCTAAAACGTAGACGAAAAATTTTTCACTTTTCTGCGATTTATAAAGAAACGGCTTGGCCGATCGTCGCACAAAACTGACAAACAATAGTTCTCGTCGAGATACATCGAATGGCTTTTAAATTTTTGAAATCGACCCAGCCGTTTTCGAGAAAACGTCGATTTACGGCAAAAAATCTGTTCACATACACACACACACACACACACACACACACACACACACACACACATATACTTTTTCCAAATTTGGTCTCATTCGATTCAGAATGGCTTGAAACGTCGAGAAAACATAAAATTAGCGAATCGGGTTTTTTGATGAAAACATAAACTTCTCCTTCGGGAAGTTAATAATTGAAAATTTTTTTAGCACTTTATTACAAAAAACGGCCCGGCCGATCTCTACCAAAAACTAATCATCACGATTCCCAACCAATATCTTTCGAACAGTTTTTGAATTTTTAAAATCGATTTAAAATTGCAGGCCAAAATGTGGATGAAATTTTTTTCACTTTTCTGCTATTCACAAAGAAACGTATTGGCCGAGCATTGGCTTTGCAAATCAAAGCTCCAATTTCGATTCTACTAACATTTTGAGGGTACAAATGAACGTATAGGCACAAAAAAAAAAAACAAAATAAAAATGTTTTTTTTTCATTTTACTTAGCAAACTATACACTCAGTACATTCAGCTACTTTTACAGTTAATTGGATATGACAGCGATGTGAAGGATAGAAATTCAGCAATAGCATCTTCTGTAATTATAGCATCAGATTATATTTGGTTTGATGTAATGAATAATTGCAGGTTTTTTTTCCTAAATCGCTTTGGTGGTAAAGGCTTGAGCAGATCACACGCTAGTTGATTCGGATATCGACTTAGCCGAGTCTTGTATTCGGAGCAGAAATGGTTAATTTTTTCTTCCACAGTTTGAATTCTAAGGGGTTGATTAGTAGTTTGGGGCGTTCACGATTTGTTTCAAAATTTTGTTCTGGAACATCTGTAAAATTGCTATGTTTGATTTACTGCCGCACCCTATTGTTGTAGACCGTAGGACCATATTGGTTTAATAATTGTCTTGTATATTAGGAGTTTATTTTCTAATGAAACTTGTGATTCATTAACCAATTGAATTGTCCACATGTCAGTTTGAGCTGCTGGCGCTTCTTAATTATATGTTCATAAAATATGATGTATTTATTTATGTGTATAAATAAATTATTTATTTCTGAAAACTCCGTTAAGTTAGTAGCCGAGTCTGGAATTAAATTTAATAGGTCGCACTGTGGAAAATAGTGTTAAGGTTTTGGGTGTAAGGTTTGTGATGATTATTCTAATTGAGATTAAAACAATTATCACAGTGTTAATCATGGAGTTGTACTATGGTAGCCATATATGCGTCAATTTAATATTCTAGTATCAAACGGTTATTTCTGTATCAACTCTTGACTGTAAGTCAAAATTTTATTTTAGATAAACAACGATGACATTGTTGCATAAATCTATTACCTATATAGAAATTCTATTACTAAAAAGTTTATCAAATATAGACATATTTTTGTTTCAAGTGTTAAGTCACTTTCTAAAAACCCTCGTAAAAAAGAAGAATCATTGCTCATAGAGCTTTAAAGTTCTAATTGTTGTTAAAAAAAATTGTGTTACAATGGAGATGTGAGTTTTAAATGTGATTTAGTCTTTGATATGAGTATAAATCATGTGATATTTTACAAATTTCAATGTGTTGATTCGCTATTAGTGAAATATATATTAAAAATGTAACATGTAAATTCTCAATAGACATTGCCAGAACGTTTGAGTTTATCCTTATTATTACACAAGTTATTGGCATTTTTAATGCGTTCATTTTCAACCTCAGTTTATATAATGTATTTTTAAATGGCTTACATAACTCGAATTGCATTGCTGAGAATTTTTTGCGGTCATACTAATGACATAATTATTCGTTATAAATATTTTGCAAGTTATTTTTTTTCATTAGCGTCGAACGGTGTTAATCCAATTGTAGTCACTCGTGCCATAGCACAAAATAGGTGTTCAAATTCAAATACAAACGTTGTTGCTAGATGTCCAGATTTAACTAGAATATTACAAGCATTTGTATATAGAAGTGGCATGCTTATCTATACATTTCTTTGATAAATGGCCTTAGTATTATCGTTCGCGGGTTTTATTGATTTGGTGATTTGATAATAAACACACAAAAATTGTTTTTGGTATTTTTGTATAAAAAAAGTTTGTTTTTCATACCAAACCTACAATATTCTTAAAAATATTACATGTGTGCTGATAAAATAAAAGTTTTGTTGAATGTTTTGATGTGCCTACAATATGCTTCAGGTGAGATTTCTGCATTAGCTGAATAATGATTGATTTGGATAATTGATTTTTAAAACGGTGCTTTATTCATATTTTATTTCAGTATTGTAGTTTTATATAGATACTATAATCGCAATAATCACAAATATAGTAGAAAGTAAGTTTCTATTTATCTTTCTTCTCTTCATTATAAATGATGTAAATATTGCTATTGCTTTATTTGTGATTTCTATAATATCATCTTAATTATAGTATTATTATTCAATGTTTTAATTATTTATTTACTTTTTAGATGTGCATTGCTCGGGCGTTGTATGATAACATTGCAGAAAGTCCAGATGAGTTGGCTTTTAGACGAGGTGATCAACTAACTGTGCTTGAGCAGAACACAAACGGACTTGAAGGATGGTGGTTATGTTCACTTCGTGGTCGTCAAGGTATATGTCCTGGAAATCGGTTAAGAATACTAGCTGGTGTATATGAAACTCCACCTACTACACCAGTAATTCATCAACAAACTGAATTCTGTGGGGAAAGGAGATCATGGCACGTTCAACCAAATAGGGTAAGTAGTAAAATATTTCCTCCTTAGTTTTATGTCATAAAGTTGCTACTAGCAATTTTTATGTCGTTCAGCTTTATGAATTATATAAATGGTGTCATCTTAATAGGTGGTAACGCCACAGCGAAGAGGTGACGTTTACGTATATGAAAATCCTTCGGCGATGACAAGGAATTCTCCTATAGACTGTTACGATACTCCACGTCCGATTCACCATAGTTTTCCGACTGAGAATTACGATACGCCCAGACATTCACCTTCTACCCCCCATCTTCAGCAGCATGACGGTTGTTATAATGTACCGCGTCATTCCCCATCAGTGCAATCTCTTCAGGAAACCATGTACAATATACCACGGCAGTCGCCTTCGATTGTCCAGTTACAACAAGACTCCACGTACAATGTACCACGTCAATCACCATGTACATCACTACCACATGATTCTACAAATATACAAAATGGAGTATGCAAAGTGCCTCAACTTTTGACATCTCCAGTTGTTCCTGAAAGCTTGCGACAATCGCCCATGGCTTCTATGCATGATAGCATTTATAACGTGCCAAGGCATTCACCGTCATTGCAGCAGGACAACTATGACGTACCACGGTCAGTATCAACTCATTTGAATCGAATGACGCCCAGTAGCTCGGTGAGCAGTCTTACAACTGATTCTTTATCCATTTGTTCGAATCGATCTTCCTTGGTAAACATGCCGGAATATGATGTTCCGCGGTCTCTTAGCGTAGCACAAATCGATCTTCCACCAGCACCGAAAGAGTTACCGCTAGAATTGAGTTCAGCTTTGTACACATTAACTCGGCTTCAAACAGAAGTCACATGTGCGACTACCATCCTTTTAGGCTATGTCGTCCCAGATTGGAGAAGAAAAGATAAATTAGAGAGCACGGGTATGGATATCAAGTTATCAGCGATTAGACTAAAGACTGCCCTATATGATTTGGTTGAATTTTGTGAGGGTGTTTCCGGCAATGCAGCAAAGGCACCAGATAAAGGTAAAATTTTCTAATATTACATCAGTTTTTTATTGTTTTATGTATATAAATATTTAGCATTTAACTTTTTGCATGTATAGCTAAAACGTTAGGTATTTAAAGTAATTGAGTTATACATAATATATTATGTACAAGCTATTCATTATGATTTAAATGATTTGCATATTCAGGATTTTCATTTTTGGTGATAAAATATATTAAGTATCAAAATATTTTTAGGAATTTCGCAGAAAATAAAGCCACTCGTAAAAACACTTAAAGATGCTTATAAAATAATAGAAGACAGTACTGAAACTTTGGATGCTTTGGGCTGGTTTCCAGAGCTCGAAGCGACTGTTGATAGACCTGTACCAATCTACCCTAATAACGTTGATCCACTGGACGAACTTATTAGGTGCGCTAGATCTCTCACAGAAGATGTTAGGTTGGCTGTTTCATCAATACAAGGTAATGCTACATTATTATTTAAGCGTTCCAATTCGCCACAAAATGATAATAATAATGGAAATTGGATGGAAGACTACGATTACATTAATTTGGATGTCAAAAATAATCAGACAAACATTAATGACGAGTCAGAAGATAGGCGATCGTCAACTACTATCGACGGAGATGTAACAAATGTAAGTGATACAATAAACGAAGAAGATTTAGATTGTAACGATAGGCAAATAGTTACATTTTACGCTAAACAAGCGGTGATATACATGGCAAATCTTGCAAATGCAATTGATGCATTCCTGCAGACAGTTGAACGCAATCAACCGCCAAAAATATTTTTAGCTTATGGAAAATTTGTTGTTCTAAGTGCACACAGGCTGGTACATATTGGTGACACAGTTCATCGTAATGTTTTACAAAGTCCAGTTAAAGACCGCGGTTTAAATTGCGCAAATGCATTAAGTGAAGCTTTGGCGGTCACAGTAAATAAAACAAAAATTGCTGCAGTGCAATTTCCTAGTGTTTCAGCTGTACAAGAAATGGTAGATTCCGTAGTCGATATATCTCATATTGCCAGGGATCTCAAATTGATTTTGCTTCAAGCATCTAATATTTAGTTACCAAACAAATTAATGGAAGTCATTAACTCACTTTACTTTCAAATTTGAGTATTGAATTGTAGAGTATTTAAAACGCACATATAAAAGTTTTTATTCTTATAGTAAGTTAGGTACGGGTAGCAATGATATGTTATTATTTTACTCCAACTATTATATATCTCTCGATTCATCACATCAATACTGAAATGCACTAACCATGAGTTTGTTACAATAAATTCAAAAGGTATAAGTGTTTGTTTACAATATCTTCAAAATCATTCTTTTAATTTAGATCTTACTTATTTATTGACAAAATACAAAAAATATAGACGTGCAATCTCAATATATTTTATTTTATATTTATAAAAACAAAAAATGATAAAACATCAAAATTCAGTTCGACGCTTAAGGCATTTTCAACTTTTATGTAACTCAAACAAGCCTGGTCGATAAACTATTTGAATATAAGGTTAAACATGCATGAAATGAAAATAAAATAATTATTTTCATGATGCATATATGCGGAATGATCTTTTGGGAACAGATTATATGATATGGTTTATTTTCTACTTACTGTTGAATTGTTTTCAAATTGTCATAAAAAATTGGTTTTACTCGAATATAATAGTGATATGAGTAAAACTAAATGTATTATATAAAATAACATTAGAAATCTTTTTTTAAAATTCAATGTAAATATATTTTTATGAATTTATGAATTTATGAATTCAAACAATTAAATGTAATATTTTTAGTTAAAATATTTTTTATGGTAAATACGAACTTAAAACTATTGTAAAGTTATTTATTAGATAGAACTGCCAAATTATTATTAGTAGCAAAATATATAAGCAATTAATCTTTTCATACAGGCTGTAATAAAGTCTTCAATTATTGTAGATGTCTAGTACTGAAACAATCACACTTAAATTTGGAAAATATTATTTATTGAACATTACTTAGTCTGCACTTTTAGTTTATTAGTATAGAATAATTGTTTATATTTTAGCTGACATTGAAACTATCATATATAAGTATTTAATAAAATAGAAAAAAAATTATATATTAAATTATTTGAAATTAAGATTATTGATACAAGCTACTATGCTAGCTAAATATATTATTTTAATTCATCTGAAATATATGTAATTCTCTTAAATTAACATATATTGTAGGAATATAACAAAACAAAATATTTATTAAATATGTTAATAATGCAATTATATAAAGTAAAGGAAAACTTCATAATATTATCAATAATATACATATTTATTATATTTTAACTTTTATTTTTAATGGTAAAATTTATTTGAATATAATCAATTTACCTTCATATATGAAAACTGAATAATTAATTTTATTGCATTTTATGCAGTTGATATGTATTATACACCAGATATAAATTATATATATACCATGTATATAAATATGATATGATATATATATATATATATATATATATATATATATATAGTATGTATGTATGAAAATGAAGTTCCTGAATTGTTTTAAATATGAATATATAAATCATTTTGAATCAAGACAGGAATTGATTTTGCCGACTGCTCTGCTGGATTGGTACAACATTATATATGTATATGTGTATATATATATATATATATATATATAATACCAGAATATTATTTATAACACAGATTGAAATTTATTCAATATATATGTGCTTGTGTCTATGCATATAACAATGCATGTATAGTGATATCTATGCATTTTTTGCAGCTAATAATTTAAGTTCTATTTTGAACTTTTAGGCATATAAATATATATATATATATATATATATATATATATATATTTATATATTTATTTATAAACCTGTTTGTATGTTCTTGTATATTTGTTTTAAACATACTAGTCAGGTTCATGGGGCAATTCATTTTACTAGAATTGGCAGTACACAGTATATTATTTATTTATGGGTTTATGCTATAAGATATTACTCCTTCGGGTTTTTAAATTGGTTGTTATAAAAATATTTGAAATTTATAATCTATAATTTATTAAAAATATTATGAACGTCAATAATTACAACTCCAAAATAACTTTAGACCATCATGAATCATTTTTCAATATAAACCCTGAGGGAATACAGAGTTATAATATTTATATAATAATATTATTATCATATGAAGTATACGATCAAAAATATTAGTGACTTCAAAAATTTATAGTTATTTACTTCCAATCCCTTAAATGACTAATCTAATTTGATGCGTCTGACATACTTTATGGAATACAATTTACACTACAATAATTACAATTTGAGCATTGCATGATATTATCATAAAATTCTCAATTTGTATACTTCTTCTATTTTGAGGTATAATATTTATAAAATTCAGCATTAGTAAAATAATTTCCGTTATCTACATTTACTTCGATCACAAACATTACACATATTATTTATTTATTTCTGTTAACGAAAACAGTTATTTATACATTTTTTCAAGATCGTATTATTTGTGAAGAATCTGTAATCGATAGATCATAAGATAATGGATAAATGATCTTCAGTATTAGTTTTCAATGTGCTTATTGAGTATACTTATAAAGAATTTATAATAAATCTTGTAAAGTATGTTTTTTCTTTCCATTCCTGATTTTTTACAGATTATAAATAACCTAAAGAAATTATCTTAATTATTTGAATAACTATCGTATTTACTAATATATTTCAAACTTTTTTTTGTTAATGGTGTGCATATTTGTTTTTTGTTTGTTCCAGATATGCGTTTTATATATATTTTCAAATGACATTAATTATCCCTATGAGAAAAATGAAAAATTGGAGAAGACGCTTGTGAGTTTGTGTATATTTACGTAATTGTCAGGCAATTTCGTTGTTGAAAATTTTTTAACTGTTGGAAAAAAAATTAAGGCGATATATAGCATGGACTCATATAAATTACTGAAATGTTACGACCTTACGCCAAGTAGTTTAATTTTAAAAATTCATCAAAGTTTGAGAAAATGAGTAGTTTTTTTGACGTTTGTTAAAATTAAAATTAGGCGATTTACTTGGTATAGCGATAGAGTTCCTCTTCGTCTTAATAAACATACTAAAGCATTAAAGTCCTACGGAAACTGGTTCAATATTAAAAAAATTATAAAAAATTAATTATTGAATTTTGAAAATTAGCTTTCAAAAAATACTCCTACCGGGTTAACGTGTTCGATTTTTAATAATGTGTAATAAATCCACTACGGATACTTTTAACCACTCATAAATTAAATTTTTTGTCATGGATTAAATCGATTATTTACACATATCAGGAAGTTCATGTAACTTGCCTTAAGGCAAAATACCAATACCAACTAGTTTTTCTTTTAAATTTACTCAAAATGTTCTAAATCGATTTAAAAAATACGTGAATTGAAAAGGATCAGTAGGGAGTCGCTTCAATAAATTCTTGATAAAGTCCGTTAGTAGCAGTTTCTGTGTAACCAACGGATATTTTTAATTTCTTAAAATATTCAATTAAAATTCAATTAAAAAACTGAATACTTCTTTGGTCCAGTTTGATCTATTGTTTTAATTTGGCGCGACGACGATAAATTATTTGCGCATGTGCGCAGTAGAATCAATAGCAGTTTCATGTGTGACAAAATCTACTAAAATGTCAGTAAATAGTGAAAATAAATATACTTAAATTCTTGAATATTTTATTGCAGTTACTTATGTAAAACTATGGAATTTCGAACATTCCGAAACAGTGAACAAAATACTGATCTTATATTGAAATCTATACCATCAGATCCGATGCTAGATTTGCACCAGCCCAATTTTCAACAAAAATGTTTTGTATTTACCGATATAGAACTTACTGACATAAGTGGCAAATATCCTCCTGAATCAGATAATCGCAAAATTGGTAATGGATCCATATCTACATATTCTAAAACATTGCCAAAAAATAAAAAAAGTAAAACTAAATGGAAAGGGAAAAAAATTGCTACAACTGTAGCTGGAATATTGTTATTGTTACTAATTGGCGCGGGAGTACCGTTTGCTTTACAGCTGCGTTCATCATCTCTCTTGGAAGCAAGGCTGACCTTTATAAAACGACTATTAAGTGAAATTCCATTAGTAGAAGGTTATTGGAGTCCGGAAAATTTGACTACTTCATTATCAGCAATAAAGGAAGGGTTAGTAGGAGCACTATTGTGGTCAGTAGATATACCTTGTGGAGCACAACACTTGGATGCTGTGCAGAGAGCATTGGAAGGAGTGGATGCAGCAAAAAACACTGCAAAACACCATGAGTCATTAGTCATAGTTGATAAAGCTTTAGATATGGAAAAAGCTCATTCGGATGGTTTTGTTTCTGTGATCTTAGGTAAACCTTAAATTGTATCGTTCAACTTATTCTCATATCAGTATATTGCCAAAAATGTATATATAATCCTTTTTTTTCTTTCTGCACCACAGGCATTAAAGGCGGCCATGCTCTAGGAGCAAGTCTTGCTGTCCTGCGGTCACTTTACCATCTAGGAGTCAGATTTGTTTCTTTAACCCAAGAGGGGTGCAGCACGCCCTGGGCCACAGCTTCTAAATATTATGAAATGGAATCGCATCCGGAACAAGACATTGAGCTAGATGGAATTACATTATTTGGACAGGTAAAATAATATGTGTTTTAAATTCATATATTATTTTAACAACACTGGGCAAGAAGTTCAGAAGAAAAATCGGAAGAATTTGCGGAACACCTGAAAACTACATTCTAATAGCCTTATCCCGGCAGTTGCAACGTGAGGGATGAAGATTTTATCCGCAATTTTTTGCGAAATAAAATTATACCACGCCAACTCATAAAACGCATAACGGTGACTGAATTAAAACATAACATAAAATTTCTATAAAAATGATAAAAGAATTACCAGAAAAGGGGTATAGATAATTAACAATAACATTTATATTAGATTTAGATTAGATTAGATTATAATCAATTTTGAGATTAAAAGTGTTTTTTTAATCTTGAAAAGTAAAAAATAATTCTAATACCCAAACCTGAGAAAGATCCTTCTTTATATTGCCTTATAGACTGACTAGCTAACTTTATTCGAATAGTTAAGGGTCAGTAAATTTGATTTAAAAAAAGAATAATTTTAAAATACATTGATTTTTTATTGCATACTTAAATTGCAGTATTTGTTACTATAAATCATATCTAAATATCTAATATCTAAATAATTATTTAGCATGAAGACACTATCCCTTTTTACCATCCCAGATTAGCGTAAGTAACCGTCCCGCATTTTACCTAAAATAAAAATGAAATACCTTACAAAATGTGGCCACTTTACTAAAATATTACATAAGATATTGAGATTACATTTTTTTATTTATTCAAATTTTATTTATTGCAGTCAATGATAAGTGAAATGAATCGATTGGGAGTTCTGTTGGAGGTGTCGGGGGCTTCAGAATTGGCAATGAAGCAAGCTTTGACTGTATCTCGTGCGCCCTGCTTGTTGGCCAATTCTTCACCTCTCGCATTATGCAACGATACTTCGGCCATATCCGACGATATACTTACAAGCTTGCCACAAAACGGTGGTATTATTATGGTAATTAATATTAATAATATATTGTAGCCAGGGCCGGTCCAGGTCCAAGCGTCCTAAGCGCCCGCAATCCATTTTTTAGCGTCTGCCTCTCTTTTATTATTTTGACTGTTTAAACTCTTTATCATCAAAATTATATATAAACATTTACGTTAATTTATTAAATACTTTTTAATAATTCTGGATTCAGTACAAAAAAATTATATATAATATTGAAGTGCATAAAATACATACATATGAAAGTTATTTAGAATATCGAGGCGATTCGCGGGTGCTCGTAATCAAATTGTTGTTTCTTCAATTCAAACTTTTTAGGACATCCAAAAATTTCAGTAAGTTCAGTATATTGCTCGCAAGAATATTTTTCAATTTTCAATTATTTCTAACGTACGTTATAGAATGTGTAATATTATTATTTGGATTTACTTATTTATTGTGGGGATTTTCTGTGATTTATTGTATTGAGCAAATCATAGACAGCAAAAAATTATTTCATTAATAAACATAGCAATGGTACTCCACGTTCGATTATTTGAATTTAATTTTTTATTATTTGAAGTATACAAAATTGCATCATAAACTTCTCTTAATTGATATCGTAAAGGCAGAATTGTATGTATTCATCTTTACTTTTCCCCGTGTATCAGATCGTTGTTTTAAAGTCAAGTTTTCAAAGCATTTTTAAAATATTGACCAAATATTAGAAAATGATGCAAATATATATAATGTTATATATAATGTTATGAAATTCGGTTATGAAATTCGGTTATGAAATTTAGTTTTTTAAACATCAATCAAGAAATATATATATATATATATATATATATATATAAAACTAAATTTCATAACCGAATTTCATTTTGACGCCCCCTAAGATGTGCGCCCGCATTTTTTGCATGCATCGCAATTAAGGCCAGCCTAGTTCGGCACCGGCCCTAATCATGTTTTTCACTTTCCGAAGAAGAAGTTTGTTTTTGCGTTTACTCAACGTTTCAATCTTTCTGAATCGTTGGAAATATTACATGTGTATGTATGTATGTAAGCTGATTTTTTATTTTTAACGACGTTTTCATCAAACCGGGTGAATTGATTTCACTCGATAAGAACTCGCGTCGATTAGTTTTTCAAGATGATCAGCCAAGCAGTTTCTTTAGAATAAGCAGAAATGTGAACATTTTTTGTCCATGCTTTCGTAAAACAATTCAATCGTTTTTGAAATTCAAAAACTGTTCTTGGAAATCGTTCTGATTCATTTTCGACAAAGATCGGTCGGTTCGTGTTATTCATAATTGATTTAATTTTTTATTTTTGCGATTTTATTGAAGCTTTGTATAGCGATAGAGTTCCTGGTCTAAATGAACTTACTGATATAACAAATGGTTTAATAATAAAACAAAAATCTTTGTATTAACCGACCGCCCTTTTAGAAATATTCCGTATATGTTTTAGGCGCATCATAATGTCTAATAATTTGTCGAAAATAACTATAAGAATGTTTAGAATATTATCTAAAAAAAAAAATCATACTGAAGAACAACTTAATAGTTAAGATGTTTTAATATATAACAAAATTATTATTGTTCTGTTATACACATATTTTTATGAATGAATTTAAATGATACATTATTCAGCCAATTGTATACTTATCTAGCTGTGGATAATTTCATATACTCTATGTATTCATGTGCATAATTGTTATTCTTGACTAGGTAAATGTGGACCATTGTAAAAATCAGCAATTAACAAGGAAAGATGCTATATCATACATTAATCATGTTCGCAACATGGCTGGTGTAGACCATATTGGTTTAAGTGGTGCAACTTCAAATTATCCTCACTTGCTTGCAGAATTGGCAAGAGACCGGTTATGGGGTAAATGAAATCATTAATTAATAACTGCAGTAATAAGTCATTAAATTCGAAATATATAAATATTTGATTAAATGTTTATTAGTACAAGAAGCAAAAAACATTCCTATGCCACATAGTGTACAATTATATAGATTGAAAAAGCATGAATTGATATTAAGTATGGTTTAGTTTGCTAGTGCATAGTTGATTTCTGATCTTCCAACAATTTGTGAATGACACAGCCATTATGATATAATTTTTAATAATAAATTACAACATATAATCACATAAACAAAGTTTACAGTCATTTATTAGGTAAATAGTAGTATAATTATAATTTCTGAATCTGAATTTACAAAGTCATATTAACATATAAATGGCATTAATACAAATTAACATTTTGTTTCATCATTATAGGAAACATTGCCATAAAAAAACTGGTTGGCGGAAATTTGGTTAGAGTATTGAAAGAGGTATCAACAATTGAATACCGTAGTAATTCAGCTTAATTTAGTTTTTAAATATACTATTTATTTCATAGGTAGAAGCCGTGCGTGATAAGGTACCTATAAATGAAGAATGGGTTCCAGAAGAAGCTATTGAGGGTCACTCATATTGTCGTTATCCAGTAGTATAATTTTTTTCATATAGAAATAAGAATATTTAATTTAAAGTTACCTAAAAAAATAAATTCTTTATACATTTATCCAATAAATGTTAAATACTAATACATTTTTTTATCCTTTTTCTTCTTTTTCACTTTAATAGGCAAATCTATATCATTTGTAATTTCATTTTCATTATTTGATTCAACATCTTCTAGCATTTTACGCTTTTTTTTCTTTATTTTTATGGGCATATTTGATATTTGTTCTGCTTCAGTGGATTCTATACTTGAATTTTCAACAGTTTTTGCTTTCTTTTTTTTAGATTTCTTGATTTCAGATATTTCCAACAAACTTTCAGCATTTTCTTCACTTTGAACTGAATTTGGCTTACACTTTTTCTTTACTTTATGTTCCTCAACATTCGTACTATGTGATATTTCGCTTTCAAATGACTGTTTTTGTATGTTGCGATCTTTCTTTGATTTTTTTCTGCCGTTAACATTTTCTATAGTAAATGTATTTTCTCTTGGTATACTAGATTGAACTTCTGTATCTATTTTAGTTTTCTTTTCATTTTTAGATTTCTTTTTTTTCTGTTTCTTTGAAACCTTCTCACTTGACTGATCTATGTCTGAATCCAAATTTTCAGATAATTTGGACTCTTGCTCAAATTCTTGTTCAGCTTCATCTCTTATAGTTGAATCGCATTTCTTCTTTTTCTGTTTTTTATGTGGTACAGCCTTTTCTTCAATTTCAATGGTCTTAAGTTTTCTTTTACCTTCATTTTCATTAGTAGATATTTTAACTTCATTTATTTCTTCCTCAATAATAACAACCTGCCCTCGTTTCTTAAGATTTTTTGGTTTATTTTCATTTTCCATATTTAAAGACTCATTGTCACTACTTTGTTCATTTTGTAACACATTCAATTCTACCTTATTTTCTACTTCCTCTTTTTTTAAGCATCTGTTATCAACCAAAGTGATACATGTTATTCTACAGGAAGCATTGGTTGAACACATTTCTTGAATATCGTCATTATCATCATTAATCCAAAGTTTTATAACACCCGAGCTATCGCATGTTACAATATACATATTAATACCAGCAACACATTTAATTCTGCAGTTGTGTCCTTTTTCAATATGCTTCGATTTATTCTTTGTATCATATATTAATATATTACCATCTTCCAATCCACAAACTAATTTAGTTTCAGTAATCCAATAACAACTAGTCATTTTTGAGTCTAATTCTTGACTGTCAATCACTGCAGCGTGTTCTATGCTCCAGATATCAAGTTTCCTAGAACCAGCTAAGGTGAAATGGGAACCATCTTTAGACCAATGAATTGAATCTAAAAGAAGACCATGAGGCCCACGACTGGATAAGTTAGTTGCATAAGCATGTCTTCCTTTAACTAAATTCCATGTCCGTAAAACATGATCTGCACCAATTGACAGAGCAAGCTTTCCACTTGGATGTACAGCAACATGATTAACGGCTGATTTTTTATGTGCACTACCCCATAATTTTTCTGTTTGCCAGTTTCCAGTGCGGACAATAGCTAAAGCACCATCAGCACCGCCACTCAAAATATGTGAGGCTTTTGGAGTAAAGGCAATGGTGTTGACAGTACCAGAATGATGAATAAGCATTTGAACTTCTTTTCTTGTATTCATGTCATAAATAAATATCCTATCATCGGATCCAGCAGAAGCCAAGAACCTTTCACAGCATGCAACAGCACGGATTGAACCAGTGTGGGATTTTGTTGCAAAGGTTTGTTTGATAACACATTTTGACTCCTGAAAACATACAATGTGATTAATATAATATAAACGAGTAACACATCTATAAAATTGTACATTTAATATGTTTCTTAAAAGATAACAAGGTAAAATTATTGTTCAGCACACTATAACAGTGCCTCCATAAGAAATATTATATGAAAACCTTAAAGCAACTTTTATGTTAATGTATGCAAGGATATCAATTTGATCCCCAGATTAATATAATTATATCACAATACTATTTCTTAACACGTATCAATAAATGTCATTGTTGAAGAAAAAGAATATGTAATTTATATCAATTTTATTTCATAGTTTCATTTTCAATTAATATAACCTATAAATTTGTTTCAAACGTACTTGTGTTTTTTCAATTTTATATCCTAAAATGAATTGCTCGTAAGTTCCAACTACAATTTCAAATTCTGACGTCATTTTTAATTAGTAATAGAATTTAATCAGCTCTTTTATCCATTTAATATATTTAAGTCGATGTTAATTTCACCATTAGAATTGACTTAACGCACATGTTTCGAAAACATAACCTAAAACACAGAGCCAGAGCTAAACGCTTCGTTCAGGTAGTTATTTTCTAGCAAAATATTTTGGTGGGCGTGTCTTATTTTAGTGGGCGTGTTATATTATATATTATAATTAATTAAAGTACATGGAATATGGAATGTTTTTATACATATTTCACTGATAACATCCATGTCTATATATTTAAGTATATACCATATAAATATATTTCGTATATATTCATATACATACATTTCGTATATAAACAAATTGTTATTTTATTATTGTTAATTTTCTATTTTTTTTAAATTTGTGTTATTATTTTTTCTGGTATGGTATGTATCAATTTTTAATATATGTAATATTTTAAATTTAATTTATTTAAACTTTGTAAAAATTCTTTTAGATACTATAAAACATCAAAAGTTTGCTGAATGATGACACACAACAGTGTCGAAACGTATAAATAAATATTTTATTATATATTGTTTTCTTTTATTTCGACGATCGGTTGAAAATCAACATTCAATAAGATAATGTCTCTACGTCGAACAACAAAATCTAAATCTTATTTAAGTATATGGTTTACATTTTGATTTTACCATGCGATTTTCTATTACCATGTCGATTGTAATGTTTTTTTCTAATTATATTAAATTTTAAATATATCGAACAACCGAAACATCTATAAATGTCCATATAATTATTATTAGTAAATATGATTATTACCACAAAGAGATTTATCTCGATATTTTGAAAGGTAATATAAAAGGTCATAAGGGTCAAAACTGGCACACATGCGTATCAATTTTTCACATTTTTATAGATCTCTCATTTAAGTATTTAGATATTTTAATATTTTATTCACTTAAACATAAGAATAAAAAACTTGTAAGTTTTCTTTTAAGCATATTTAAATTGCTTAAGAACTTGCATAGATATAATTCTGAAAGACTTAAAAATGAAAACAAATACAAATTACACAAGTCCTTAAAATTATTATTTCATTTATTTTTGTAAATACATAAATTATTTACATATTTAGTATATCATTCCTAAATTTCTAACTATTATTAATCTTTGATTTTAAAGTATTTATAAACAAAATATCAGACTTCTTTACAAAAATATTTATATTTTAAACAGCTTCGGCAAAACCCACTCGATCATTTCCCATATCAAATTCGGTGTAGAATTTTCCAATAAAAACATCTCCTAAAATCCATAGAGGACCATTTGGAGGAGGAATATCAATTCCCATAAATCCAGATAGACAAATTGTCTTTCCCATTTGAGCAACTTTCAAAACATAATCAGCTCCCTCCAATGCAAATACCTTCCCGTTTAATATGAATTCAATGGTTGGCAAGTTTGGTATTTGTTGGCAATCAACCATATATTCGCCACCAACAATTGGTGTAGCACCAATAAGTTTATTCAAATTCTGAACTTCATTTAAAGGACCTGCGATAAGACTGGTACCAGTGTCTGCAATTGCTTCACATCCATTTTCACAAAATGTTTGTCCGCCAACTTTTACTGAATCCATTTTGAATTGCCAATAAGCCTTTCTATCGACTGATAAATAAGTGAAGTCACCTTTATAGTGATCTGGGTCTGAACCTCCTAATAAAATTTCTCCTCCAACCGGAGCTGTGGGATCACGATTCAAGTAAAATGAGAAAATGGGTTCGGATATTAAACCTTGATTGTACATATTGTAGAATACTGGTACAACACCATCAACTGATATTGAACTGTATCCCATTCCCAATATACCATCAAACTTGGCAGCAACAAAAGCTAAGCCAGGCTCACTCATAGCTTCGGCAAAAGTTTGTTTAGCCACATCGAGTCCACCAACGTTTACAGTATCAGTGGAAAGAAAACCAGAAAGACTTCCGGATCCGTACTGAATAGCAAAATCAGTGCCATTCTTGACATAGGTGGAAGATTTAGCACTGTTATATTTATTGTGAAGCATGCAGGCAATATTGGTCATATGGCATTTCTTTGAAGGAACCCAAAGATTGGATGAACCAGTATCGAATACAACTTTAAAATTTTGTGGGGGGTTACCAATAGTTATAGGTCCGTAGTATTGGGCATCTAAATAGTTGGACAATGGTTCAGGAGTTGGTCCTCCGTACCTAAGACGTAATTGTTTCATTTCTGTTCCTACATCTTGCAATTGACGACGTACGCTTTGTATTTTATACAATGGAACTCGTATAATTTCTCCCGAACTAAAAGCTAATAAAGCGATTAGAATGCTATAAAATAACATCTCGACACAATAACAACAATGGTTTCAGATATATTTAAATTTTAGAACTTTGACTTTCTGCACTAGATTGTTTGTACAAGAGCTATGTAGCGAAACTGTTTGTGTTTTTTCTCAATAACTGATTAACTGCTAATAATGCGATTCATGCGATAAATAGAATGACCCCAAGGTGACACAACAATCTCTGCATCACAAATTTCGCCATAGACATAGCACAGATATATTTGACACCGACGCCGTTCTCAGGTCAAATCAACGAGCAACGAGCTATCTGCTGGCGAAGAGAATGTTATTGTAAACATTAGGGCCGTTATCGACGACACCCGTGAGAAGCAGCAGCATTATGTCTGCTACTCTGATAATTATTAACTAGCTGTAAGTGGAATTCTGTCTTAAGGCAATTAGGGCATCGGGCCTTAAGGCAAATTGCTGGAACTTCCCGTACCAAAAATTATTATTTTTTTAAAAACGATTAACATTTTTGAAAAAAATTACTTCGAAAAAATAAGATTTTTGAGAAACTATAAATTTGACAAAAAATTACTTTTTTTGAAAAAAAAAATTGAAAAAATAATTTTTTTTTTAATTTTTTTTTTTTTTTAATTTTTTTTTGAAAAAAAAATGTTTTCTTTATTTTGACATATGTTGGAAGATCTGAATTTTTTTTCAAAGCAATCGTACTGCTTTAACCGCATAGAGACAAACTATAAAGCGCGTAAGCGCCGCGCCACCGTCTAACGCATAAACATTGGTACGGAACCCATAGGAATGGAAATTTATACTTATTGTTAAAATCTCTATTAAATATCTGATAATTTGATGTGCATATATCTAATGATAATTTTTTACCGCCAAATGGCCTTTTTTGTTACTTTTTTCGTTAGATCTCCGAAACCGCTAGACCCGCCCTTATGAAAATTTGATCAAATCTTCATCTTATCAATACAAGTAAAATGTTTTTTGAATTATTAAAATCGGACGTTCCGTTTTCTTAAAAACTGAGGTACCGTTTTGCCCAATATCTTCGGAACGGCTAGACCTACCCCCGCCAAAAACTAATCAGCACGTCTCCTTATCAATACGAATCGAATGTTTTTTAAATTATTCAAATTGCTTCATCCGTGTTCCTGAAATCGTCGACGAAAATTTGTATCCGCACACACATACATACACGCTCACACACACACACACATACACACATACACACACACATACATCCATTTTTTCTAAGGTATGCCAAAATATTCAGAAACCCCTGAAATGTAAAGATATATAAAAATTTTCATTTTCGATTTTTTTGCGATTACTATAACTTACTCTACGGGAAGTTAAAAACTGTTAATAAACACTCTTCCATTTATTTCAATATCATTTCAACTAGTGGTGCATGGCAAAGTGCCTTAATACAAATTGCTGGAACTTCCCGTTTAATAAATAATTTTGAAAAAATTAGATTTTTGAGAAATTTTGAAAATTTTGAAAAAAATTGACTTTCCTGAAAAATTTAATTTTTTTATATTCTGATTTTTTTTATATTCGTTTTTTTTCGTATTTTGAAAATTTTGAACATATTTTAAGCAATCGTGCTGCATAGCTGATTTAGAGTCGAATATCAAAGCGCGTGAGCGCCGCGTAGTCATCTAACGTGTAAACATTAGTACGGAAACCATATAAATGTACATAAAATTTGTACTTACTTATTATTATCATCTCTGTTTATTTTTGACCGCCAATGGCATTATTTTTTACTTTTTTTATTGGATCTCCGAAGAGGCTAGACCTGTCTTTTTTTATCAGTTGTTCATTTTGTCAATACAAGTACAATGTATTTTAGATTATTTGAATCGGACACTCTCCTCAAAAATTGAAATACCATTTGTGGCACTTTTTGCCCCGTATCTCCGAAACGACTAGACCTGCCTTCGCCAAAAACTAAACAGCACGTCTTCTCATCAATACGAATCGAATGTTTTTGAATTATTCAAATTGCTTCATCCGTGTTTCCGAAATCGTCGTCGAAATTTTGTATCCGCACACATACATACAGCACACACACATATACACGCACACACATACACACACACACACACATACATCCATTTTTTTAAGGTATGTCAAAATGAGATATATAAAAATATATAAAAAAAATTATTTTCGATTTTTTTGCGATTACTATAACTTACACTACGGGAAGTTAATAATATTTATCTTGTTAATTTTACTTCCCGTACCAAAAATTATTGCGTGCATACATATTTTGTTTAAAAAAAGATTCAACATTTTTTTAAAACTTTGGAAAAATCAAATTTGGGAATTTGTAGTTCTGATTTTTTTTTATATTTCAAAATATTTTGGAAATTTTGATCATTTTATCAAACAAACGCACTGCGCGTAAGCGCCGAGTAAAATATAAATGTAAACAAAATCATTATTACAATCAGTTATTATTAATATTATCAATCATTATTAAAATATCTCATAATTTGATGTGCATATGTCTAATGATCATTCTTGGCCACCAAATAGCATTTTTTTTACTTTTTTTTATTGGATCTCCGAAACCGCTTGACATGCGTTCCCAAAAATGCTATCAGTTTTTTATTTCGTCAATTCAAATAAAAAGTTTTGAATCATTTAAATTTAAATTGGATAGCAGAAAAGTGAAAACTTTTTCGTCCACGTTTTAGCCCGCAATTCTGAATCGATTTTGAAAATTCAAAAACCGGTCGAAAAATATTTAATTGTTGGGAATCGTGCTGATTAGTTTTTTTTTAAATGTATATTTGCTGCCAAATAGTCAACATAAAAAACAATAAATATTTTAACTATTTATTATGTACGTTTTCGATACTGTAGGTGTATCATCATCAAGCAGCTCAGAAAGTAAAAGTAGTTTTTTACACGGATTTCCTAGAAGGTAATCTTATCCGCACTTTACCTTCTCATTTCTGTAAAATTGTAAATCGCGGTAAAACTCATAGAAAGGTAAAAAAATGTTAAAAAGTTTCTGACTAATTTGATAACCAATCGTGGCAAATGGCATTTCTTTAATATCTCTTTTGAATATAAAAGCAAGCAAACAAAAGAATACGTAATAAACATGTTTCTAAAACTATGCTATAATCTTTATATTCACTCATTATAATTCAAATTTTTGGCGCTCAAAAATTAAGTTACCAGTATTGCCAACACATATTGCATGCAATTATTGATTGAGCAAGTTCAGTGGCCCTTTAATTGTCAATATTTACAAATGTCAACCATTGTCAAAAAATAATCTGTGTTTTATGTCTGCATATTGATTGATAGAAATGTTTTGAAAATATGTAATATTTAGTGTAATAGTTAATTTTTCTTTAAATCAGATCTGCTCCATGATAGCCCTGGTTTGTTAATAAAATTTGATTATCAGTCTTAAATATATTTTTGTACTTACAAATTATATATTTGTCAGGATCAATCAAAACCCACTTTTCTTGATATATATAAGATGGATTTGGCGGAGACCATGAAAGCTGTTTTAGCAAACAAACATTCGAATATGTCTTCACAAATGGGAGCACATTCGGGAGTCAGTGATACTCCTGGAACTGGTTATGTGACTGAAAAATTGTATATGTTATTACAATTATATCTGCAAAACAAGGGCTGGAGTCCCAGTGTAGAATTATTGCAATGTTTTACTGAATTAAAAGATTCAGCAATGCTTCCAAATGCAGCATATCTTCAGTAAGTAAATATAGAATGATTCATATTCCAAAAACTTTGTTTAAGCAGAATGTATAATCATTATGGTTAACTATTTTTAACACCTTGAAGACCGCATCAAAACTCGTGCTTTACTTGTAGGAACCTCACCAAAAATGGTCTATTCCAGATAACATATATCGTATGTCCACCGGTGGTTCTATAATGTTAGTGCATTGTGTACTACCGGTGGACATGCGGTCTTCTACATATTAAAGATCGTGAATGTTTCATTGTCACACTTTTAAAATGGTAACTACTTTTTGCTAATTGAAATGCAAATGTGCAATATTTCAGAGTCCTGGCTAGTCGTGTTGCACTGGATTCACAAGGTAGATTAGTTTTGAGAGATTCAGGAAAAATAGTTCTTCCATTTGAACATTTTGCAAATGCAGTTATGTTAAAACACATGGGTGGACCCCATGGACTTCACCTTGGCATTGAAGCCACTGTGAGAGCAGTAAGTTAAACACTTTAATTTGTTTAATTAAATTGTCAGTGCCGAAGTAAAGTTTGTACAAGATTATTTTAAAATTTTTGATATAAGGTTATAAATTTATAGCCATTAAAACAAAAAAACATGTGCATTTTTAGGTAATGGATTCCTATACTATTGGGAGAGAAAACCTTGGTATGGAAAAGGACTTTATTGTAGAAGTTGTGCAGTCATGCCCAAGCCCTGCTTGTCGCTATTATAAAGGTCATTTGAATGCTCCTATGGGTTCAACTTCAAATACATTTATGACTCCAGAGCCTCCTCACACTCCACAAAACTTCACAAGTGATCAATTTAATATGAGTCATTTGGGTGCTCTTAGTAAGATTTATTTGAATATTTATTTGAAAATTTATTGAATTGTTTTAATATGTAAATACCATTTTATATAAAATCCAGTCTAAATAAAATATTTCATGTTTCACTTTATTTACATAAATATTGTCTGTATATTGTACTCGTTCCTATCACTATGTTTTATCAGGATTATCATATGTAAGTCATAAAAAGTGTACTTGCAAAAAAGCATGAAAGTTTTCACTTGAAATGGTTATTATTCTTAAGAATTCTAATAATTTAAGCTCAAAGTCTTTATATAATTTCTAAAATATTTAATAGGACATATTGCAGGTGCAGTGGATTTAACTGGCCCCATGGAATCGCCTAAAGGATCACATAATGCATCCCAAACACCTAACAAAGGTCCAGCCCAGCAGATCACCGCTGCCATAATCCAGCAGCAAAATAGAGCTATTGCTCAGCAAGTATGTATAAAAACTAGAGTTTTTGTTAGGTTTATGCAGGGTTACAGGTAAAATATCCCTTGTGAGTTTAGATCAAAATTAAAAATTACATTCTTTATTTTTAACCAAATTTTTTTGTTTATTTAATAAACACCTAATATAAGCACATAGCGTTTTTTCTCTAAAATCTATCTTAACAAAGCATTCAATTCTACTAAGCATTTGCATTTCTTTATATACGTTTTAATTG